CTTCCCGTTGTCTGATTCTTTTATGTTCAACCTTAAGAGTCTGTATTTCATGTCATCTATAATTTTTCCTTCTTGATTTTTTGTAGTTGTCGCGCGCTTTTTGATTTTTTTATATTCAATCTTAAAAGTGTGTATTCTAGGTCATTTATAATTTTTCTCTTTTTCTTTCCTCTTTCTGTTTTCTTGCTCTTTTTTTTTTTTAATTACATCATACATGTTTCCTTTTCAATTCCGGAAAAATAACAATGTGGACTCTTCTCTCTTTTTTTTCTTCTGATTATACGCTGTTACTTCCTTACGTATCCTTTCTGCTCCTTCAGATATACAGACAGATATTTGAGAATAATTTCTTTTACTATAAGAGAAGTTTTTTTCTTTACTTTTAAAAATTATTGTCACTAAATGATTTCTCCCCTATAAGACTTAAGAGCTGTGTACAGATGCATTATTATATACAGAGTAGATTTTTCTACGTATATTTATTCATGTAGGATAGATGAGAAAGAAATAAGAAGTTACATGATTCGTCTTCTGTTCACTCCCATGCGCCCCCGTGTTTTATTCTTTGTGGTGATTATTCTTGTGAGGCTGTCAGTAGATAAGAAGTCTAATAGAATGGAACAGAATCTTACATCTGCAGTAATATATACACAAATAAAGAATAAGCGTAGTACGTATTAATAATTTTCTTAATATGTGAAGAATATCAGATTCTAGCATGCATAGATGTCGAATGTTACTGTTGAAGTGGCACCTTTCATCAAGAGTCAGGCACTAAATTTAACTGAGCACTAGAAGTACCAGAATGAATGTATATATAATGAACACGCGCAAGGAAGGGTTGAATACCTATCTGACCGAGTTAAGGAAGATTTGCAACCTATTCTAAGGAGAAATGATAATACATTAGAGCGAGAATAGGCAGACTATTTTCTTGAAACTGAAAACAGCCTGTACCCTAAGCCACAGCCAAATCCTAATACTAAACAGAAGGAATTAGCAAACCACTCTTTCCGAAATTATAGAGAGCTTATATGAGGAATCAGAGAAAAGTCTGGACCCAACAGAGGAATTCCCCCAAAATTCATACGACCCACCTCAGTTAAATGAAGAATACTAGATCGTTCTCAACAACTTTAAGGAAAAAGATATAAATGAAATAATCGATTCAGTGTGTGATAATTTATTCGGGAAGGCGATGCTAGAGAGAGGGATAAGTTTGCAAAAAAATGCCAAAAGGGGGATGCACACCTTGAACGACCCTTTATCCTATTACTTGGGAAAATTAAAAAGTCAGCATAGCGCGGATGGGAACATTGAGGTGGAACACTTGCAAAGGAGCAATCATACTATTCACACAACCATGAGGATCATGGGGGAGTATCACAATAGACACTTTTTCCACTACATCGTAAGGGATAATTTTCCCGAGTCCAATCATGACTGTTTTATAAATGTGGTTAGAAAGGCCTTTATCTTATCTGTAAATGAGCTAGTTACTATGGAGGAGCCTCAGTTAAATAAATGTGTACTCGAGTCAGGGATACTCATGGTGAGAGCACAAAGATAACCGTTCAGAGAAACACGCTGAGCGGTAGGTACACATGTATATATGCATATATAACATGCCAACAATAGCAAGAATAAATATTCTTGTACCTATATGCTTATATATACAATTATCTGATAAAATCTTCTTTATTGAAAACAGGAGCCAGGTGGATTATACCACACAGTTTCAGCAATTACTGGTGCCCGACTGGCATCGTGACTCTATTTTTTACCATGAAACGGTATTTTGTCATTGAAAGACAAATATATGTGCTGTGTGTATTTTGAAGGAGGCAGTGAATTAAATTTATATGTAAAGTTGGTCAATTTTGGTTTCTTTAGATCAGGATATCAGACCTATCATCGGTTGATCTAAACTCTGTTAATGTTTTCCTCCTTTTCCTGAAGCATTTATACATACATGATATGCATAGCTTGCTATTTATAGGATTTTACGATTACAGCTGTTGAAATTATTCAAGAGAAATTCTTTATTTTACTCCTTAATTGTGGTAAGGATTTAAAAAATTCATTTTTTTACGTGGTGGCATGTTTCATTGCGTCTATAAAATAGGTGATTAGAATGGAAGTGATGTTTTGAGGCTGTATAATAGCAGTTAGAATTCCCTGAATTCTAAGGTAAAGGTACAAGGAGTACGATACCTGAAATCAGTGTACACATATAAATTCGGCATACTTACCGTAACCTTAGATGTCAATAATGCTACTACGCTTCATTCTTTCTAGTTAAATTTAGCATAATGTTTATATAATATGTTTTCACCTCGTAAAAATTCCATTCATGGTTTCATTATTCATATATAATTTATTGTAAATATCCCAATGAGAGACATTTACATGGAAAAAGGTCCAGAAGGAATTGTTAAAAAACACAGAGCTCGCAATGAAAGGAAGATCATTAAAGTTTGGATTATTCTATTCAGAAAAAAAAAAAAGAACGGAAAGGACATTTATGGCGTCAGCATTTCTTCGCTGAAATAGAACTATACCATGTTTACATTATGAACAAGAAAGGAAAGGAAAAAACTGCGAACTGTCCATGATAGTAGAATTTGATCGAAACAGTGGTTTATTCTGTGCTGCAGTAGCACCTATCGATAGTACATATATTTAATACGTTCTTTTACATCTTCCAGATTTAAATTAGAAGTCATGCGGATGCTGTTGATTATAAATCAATGAAAGAAGAGGGGTAATATAAAGGGGAACGTCGTTCTTATTGGTACTGTACCATACATAATAAGAGGGAAGTACAATTTTCTCTTGACTAAGATGCAGAAATAATGGTTGCTCTTGTATACTTAGGAGATGTAATCCTGAGCCGAAGGACCACTGGTGCTATAATGTATGCGCTGCCGTTGTAATCAAGTTATAAATCTTTGAAGTTATCAGCGTTAAATGTACAGAAAAATATTTGAGAATTCTCCTTATATGCTCTATTCTGGAAATTTTAGAGAACAGAATTGCCTGTAAAAATATCTTATAAACAGGGGGAAGTTTCATGTAATAGGTAAGACTGCCATTCTGCTTAGCAACAGGAAATTCACGTCGTTTTGTTTCATGAATATTTCGACGCGCCTCCAGTGTCAGTGAAGAAATAAATTTTATACATTTCCTATGACATATTTCTTTTTTTTTTTTTTTTTCTTATTGGTTAAAGAAATGTTCTGGGATGTCTTAATTTATTTAATTAAATGCCTTTGCTTTTTTTAAAATTTCTTAATTTTCCAAACTCTTTATGAAGTAAAATATTCATTACTACATATCTTAACGTAGTTTAGAATATCTGAATATATCCAACGTATTCTAACATATTTCAACATATATCAACAGATTTTATATCATATTTTAACATGGATTAGCATATTTCTATATCTTTCAACGTATTTTAACCTAGTTTATGATAACCTGACGCAACCGCCATCTGTTATGAATTTAGAACAAATTTCGCGCAAGTAATAGCAGCCTGCTCTGTATACTTTATAAACCGGAAAAATTGAATTAAACCACTATGGCTTCTGTCAGAAAATCCAATTCCGCTTGGGCTGACCACTGCTCACCGAAGAGTAGCAGAACAAAGGGAGGATGCTCTAGCACGAGTGCAGCTGCGGAGGGAAGCTCAGATAGTCTTAACTCGCGAAGATCCTTTTTTCACTCGTGTTTGGTTGCATCTGTTGTTGTCTCCATTTATATTTTGCTACCAGTAAGCTATGTGGAGTAAACATTTCTCGAATAAATAATACGCACGGTGTTGCAATCTTTCATTATGCTCTTACATAGAATTCTCTATACCCATCTTCCAGATGCTTAAATGCAGAGAGTGGTGCATACGTATGAACTATAAATATTATTCATATGCGTAATTTATACAACATCTGTCTTTGTAAACGTTCTTTAAAAATTCCTCCCAGAACCTAACCCCGTTGAACAGGAACGTGATGCCGCAATTAAAAGGAAGGAATTTATCAGAGTTAAATGAAGATGGATGCTTCAGAAGGAAAAGCATATATAGACATGTAGATTCGTCCGATTCAGAATCCGATGATAATGTGCTATCCTCGCCTGATGAAATGGATTTAGGTGAAAATGAGGAGGAGGACGCTTTGGATTCAGATAAAATTGTTGAGCAGAAATATGAAGAGAAGAGTGACTTATGTAATATTAGCTCGTCTAGATTGGACCAAGCTCAAGTTATACTTACTAGCGGTGTGACAAAAGCAGAAATAGAGGAAGCGATCAATAATATGGAAGAGGTGTCCTCAAGGAATGAGATTATCAAAATGCGGAAGGACGCATATGCTCTTGAGATACTGACCGTTTGCAAAATGATAAGTGCTTTATTCATCTATTAAGAGGAGTTGAAAGAAGGATATCAGGTAAAAGAAGAACTTGATCTCACTCATTGGAATAGAGTAATGTCCAGATGTTTTGTTGTACTAACAAAGAAGGAACAACACTACAATGGACTTTTCGACAGCTTCATCAGGAAAGATGACTTGACCAAACAGGAATTTGTGAATTTCTTGAACAGTTGCAAAAAGGAGGTTTCTGAATTGAGAGAATCTGTAGAGAGCTTTGCGATGAGAGAATTCGATGCAAGAATAATTCCAAAAAGGGGCAAGTAAAAATGGGATTTTCCAAGTGGAAGAAATTACACAAAGGAGTGATAGAACGAATAATTCTCCAAATATATATGCCAGTGGCAACAACTATCGCGCAAGGTCATAATATAAAGGGGGATTCAGAGGAAGCCTATGTTTTCCTTTCATGGTATAATTGAGCGAACTGACTTCGAACAACCGAGATCTCATAATCTTACGGCTCACCGCTGCCAAAAGGAAAACCAAAGGAAGAAGAATATCGTTTCGAAGTCTTCTATAATATACCATCCGTGACCTCCATATCGCGTCGATAAATATCCAGCTGGAAGGAAATGATACCAATGGGAAATATAGAAGCTGCTTAGATTGGTAGTTTATCTAGAAACGAAGTACATTTCTCTGAAATTCTATTTCTAAGAAGTGATAATATTTTTTATATATGTCGCTTCGCTCCTGAGTTAACTCAATTTTTTTAGTTTGTTTCTTTGAAACTTTTGTTTAATAGTAAAGATTTCACAATTAGAAATTAACTCCCACTTTGCTCGGTGTTTACATCCCTTTTAGTAAACAGAATTAATGTATCTATAACTGTAGTTTTCTACGCACTTTTGCGCGTAAGCTACCTACAGGCATATAAGATCACATAATATAGGTATTTCTCTATAATATAACAGTTTAAACTGCTAAGTGGAGGAGAATATACATTTAGAAAGTAAATTCGCTCAGGACAGTAGACACTTGTTAGAAGAGTTAGAATTGTTATTTGGAAATTCCTTTCCAATAGAACAAGGAAGTCTGAATGAAGAGTCGCAGGGTAGACGTTAATCTGACTTGCGTTAATTGCTGAATATACATGGAATAGGAAAAATGTCTAAGAAGCGTGTGCATATTGAGAAATGATTTACATGGCACATAAGCCATTGCTACATAATGTCTATCGTGATAAAGTTGTAAAAGTATGGTTATTAATGTTACAGCATCAAGAGCGTAATTAAGACACTTGAAAAATGATAAAATATAGCTGAAGAAAAAGGAGAAGCTTAAAATATGATGATGTGATTCGGTAGGAATAGAACACATTGTTTAATACCATGTCATGAAGGTTATAATAAATCCATGTAAATATTAAGATAATACATTGAACAGCCCTTTGATAGCATAAAATGCCACAACGCAGTTACGATATTCATATAATGGATAGCGCGTGAAATTATTTAAAAGGAGGAGCCCTAAAAATGATAGAGAATATTCTGCATATGCATGCGCCTTCCTTAATTTAAATGAGGCGTTATTACTGGAATATTCTTTCTATTAAGGAGCAGAGAATTCATTCTAAATTTCCTTCACATAATTAAAATTTTTCTTATATGCTTCCCAAAATGGAATAAATTATGGCTACATTTTTATGTCAGGGGCTGTCGATTGTTTTGAGTGTAGAAGTACTTTTTGAAGTCGACTGTTAAATTATAATATTAACGGAGCAGTCACATATATATAAGAGAAGAGAAAAAAATGGAACAAGGAAGAGAAAAATAAAAGAATAAATAAAAAAGAAGAGAAGAACAAAAAAAAAGAAAAAAAGCAAAAGAAGAAGAAAAAGGAGAGCGAAAAAAATAGAGGAAAAAAAAAGAAAAAAAAGAAATAAAGAGGGGCCCCATCAGGTGGAATAATATATATACCTATAAGCAGCTGAGGGATGTTTCCGTGGCATAATATACGAAATTTTGATGATAAAGCATGAGAAAATCCTGTTTATCCGTGTAGTACACTATATGCCACTGCGCGACGAATATATGAAAGCGGAGAATATGGCGAAGCAAATTCAAGATATAACAGCTTCCGGATCGAAGAAGCACGAAAGCAATACTTCACTAAACATAATAACCATTTAAAGGATTATAACAGGAAGGTGAAGATGTGAGTTTTCACGTACATACGAATACTCTATTAGATATAGCACAAATAATAAGAAGAATCAGAACAGGCCGTCAGCCTGTAATTCGACACATCTCCATATAATTCAAGGATTACCATAATATATATATATATGCTGGTAGGATGAAACAGGGATGCTGACAAAATCGGTGGTATTCTTTCTGATGGGTTATATGATGATCACTACTTAGGGAAAGACAGGCGTGTTCCTAAAATACCAGATTTCTAAATGTTCCTTTTCCGTGTCAAATTTGATGAATCCCGTTTCGCAAAGATATAAGCAGAAAGTTCCTCCTTTTTCCATCCTACTAGGAAGGCCCTCAATTCTATCAGTAAAACATACATTAATTGTTCTCTCATTAGAACAGTATATATGTCGAAGGAATAGCATAACTTCTATTTATGTTGGTAAATGAGTGATAGGCCATTTTGCAATTACAACTTTAGGGCAGACTTCTCTCATATGTAAGTAGTGGAAAACCTGGACTTCCAGAATCCTGTGGTTCTTATATATGCTTGTTGTTCTTCTTTCTCTACCGTTAACTTATGATTTTCTCTCTAAGGATATTTTATCAATGTGTGATCTCTACTGCGGTGTCTTGAATGAATCCTCACTTGTTTCGTACAGAAGCATCCGGATGGGGGTGAGCACTTGCTATAAATTCCATCTTTCTGTGTGTCTCATAGAACAGTGTGGCCTAATTTGGTAGTTGCGTGGGAATACAGAATCCCATAGGCCATGTTTATCATTAAATGAAACAAATAGACAGTGATCTTCTTCCACTTGTTGCGTATGTCTTTAGGCTGTTATGTATAATGAGTATTCTAGAGGACAAATAAGTGGACTATCAGGAACCTTCTAGGGGGATTATTACAAATAGGAAATTATGCATTTTCCATTTGTACATTTCTTCTCCATTGTATGTTACGGAAAATTTATCCACCCCGACATTCAACACGAAGGGGGCATAGAAACGTAGATGAAAGATTTCGCGGCTTCCAGATATGTTCCTCAGAGGATGAGTCGCAATTGGTGAGTTGCCTTTGACATGTGTCCCGCATTCCAATTGTGCCCAACAATGGGGTTGATTATCTTCCTAATTTGTTGACTATTTCACTCACTTGAAGTCCATGTCTCTAGAAGTACGTGTCCCCTCCTTTTCCTGGTAGGAGTCTCTCGCATGTTTTTGTACTCTGTATTTATCAAAGTACTCTCAAAGTCATCTCCTTTTAGGCCATTCGTATGAACACCATTTGAATGTAACATGTATGTATGCGTGTTATGTTTGGCCGCTGAATCTGTTCTGCTGAAGCTACATTATTATCATAGTGCTGACCGCTGATGTGCTATTGATCGTTTGTCTCCTCCTATATGAGGCTTGTAGATGTCTATGGTTTATACTCAACGTGTTTTTTCTCTTTCTTGACATCCCCAAGAAATTCTGTGGGTATCTGCTATGTTTGCGAACGTCTCCATATTTTCTTCGTTCAAAAAATTTCCTGTGTAGCCGTTCATGTACAACCCCACGTCTTGTAAATCCTATTGCTCCCTGTATTCATCCAGTAGCATCATGAATAGCGGTATCGACAATTCCGTATGTATTACTTCATCTGTAAGTACACACACTTCGTGGTTATGCACCTCCCGTTTTTCTTTATGGAAATTTTTTCCTGACGTGTTATTCGTCGTCTCATGTATTGCATAGTCGGTTTTGTCCTTTCGGTAGAGCCTGATAACTTTGCCAAAGGAACTATCTGGAATGTAGTGTCTCATACGTATGTGTTGTTTTGAAACCTAATTGCTACATACACTTCCTTGTCTTTGTATGAAAAGAGTTTGTGGCTTCTCGTTAAATTGATTGTTTTCGGACATTACATGTCCTTGAACGCATTGTTCCTCCCTTCTGCGTCCTTGCTGTAATCTGTGGAATTAATTGTTCTCTTTCAACATATCAGAAATATACGAGTATTTATGTTCGAAACTATGCCACTGATGTTTTTGTAAGTGCAAATCACGAAAGTTGTTTGCATCCATTCCGGTTAGTTCGCTCCGTCAGATAATTTTACCTATGACACCATCATTTATCATAAATCTTCGGAGGACTATTTGGACGAAATTCTCCTTGGTCAGTTTTCATTCTTCTTTTTTGATTCATCTAAAAGTTCTGTATGTATATATAGAATCTTCTACGGAACGTTTGTTTTTCACTTTACATGTATACATTTCTTTGGATGTCTTAATTACATATTAACTATTCATATTCACGGTCGAACAGTGGTACGTCGTCACTATCATATCATATATCCCTCTTCTTTTCGCAGTTATGGCTACACATTGTTGTCTGTATGTGTACTCATCTTCGGAATCTGAGGTTTTCCTATTTGGAAGCAAACAGGGACTCTAGCAGCGTATATTGCACTAGGGGTAGTTGGCACAAGTGGTTAGCTTTAGTTCTGGCCCATCGCTTAAGTACTGACCATGGCGCACTAAATTATATTTTTCCCAGTGCCTATATATATACATATATCTATACTTCCATAAAAAAGGGTAACCTCAGTAATTACACCCCGGATTCTTAAAATAATAGCTGACACCTCAATAAAGGCAATAGCATCATTAGGTAGTGTCTGGGAGGCTACAAGTCGTGTCGAGTGTCCTTAGAATTGTCAATTCGTTGTCACAAGAATAGTAAGCATAATGAAAGAGGGGGAAGCATGCGTAGAATTCAAGGACATTATGTACTCCCCACAGCACAGAATTTATGTGTGGTGGGTTGTGACAGATTTGCATAAACTGATAGGTAAAGCACAGATGCTGGTGGATAAAATAGATTGAACCTGCTAGGAAAAGGAAGAGGGGGGCGATACGCCTCGGGTAATATCCGCGGGTGGGGGATTGAATGCGGGAAACCTTCAATCTGCACGTACAATATCAGGAAATTGAATAATTCGGACCGTAAGTACACCTTCTCAATCTTTACTTATTTTACATTTATATTTTCCGTGTGTATACCCGGTGTCATTGGTTTCAACCTTTCAACACTGAGAATTGCAGTAGAATTTGATATTGATGCATTCTTACCTGCTGCGGAATTTGATTCCTGACGGAGCTACCACGTTTCAGATGTGCACTTAAATATTTCAGAATCCTCGCCGGTGCTCTGACAATTTTTCCATGGGTGACGTCCTCTCATTTGGGGTGGCAAGATTTCACCGAAGTTTTGAATAATAACCTAGGCGTTGAAAGATATTGTCAGACGCAATAGCTCTTGTAAAATCTCTTTTGGATGAGGATGTATTAACCGTCTCTGTTCGTATAGAAGTGCTATTCGGAAGAAAGCTATTTTTCGTATTCAGCCATTGTGCTCCTTTGTGCTAATGTAATAAATTTCGCAAGGAGGATCCTTCTCATTAAGGACTCTAGTGCAAAGGATGTCTGAACATTCCTGTTCCCACAATATGCATAAGAGTTCTACGGTTCTCATTAGACCTTTTCTTATTGTTTCGTATGAGTAGTGAGGATTCCTAAGGAAACCAGAACATGTAGTAATGGTGAAATAAGTGGGCAAACAACTCTACATATTTACATAACACATGTCTCTTGGGTTTTCCTGGGGGGTGAAAGTTGTGATAAAACATTTATGAAGTAGTGTGTTAAATCACCTAGCATATTGTTTGAATGAACACGTTTGATCTGTTTGTTATTATCGTTGTACACTCCCTTACTATTATTCAGGTGGGTAGGAAATCTAGTTTTATATATCTCGCATGGAGTTTCCCGTGTCCAATGCTACGTCCATAATATCGGTTAAAGGTAAATATTCTGAACTAATAATTCTGCCTATATTACATTGTGTATTATACTGACCTTTTTGTTTTACATCACATTGCCATCCCT